AAAAAATGATGGTGGAACCACATAGGAACTCCTCAGACTTTCTCCTAAAGAAAACAGCACCTGGGCTGCTTTTTCGGAGGACCCAGGTTCGATTCTCAGAACTCACAAACTGTCTAAATTCCAGTTTCAGGGAAAATGACACTCTTCTGGCCTCTGCAAGCACAAGGCAAAACCATACAGGCAAAACACCCATTTACACAAAATAAAATAGTTAAAAAAATAAGAAGGTAGCACATGCCATTTCTATCTATATGAATTTGATAATGCCTGGTTAGCCCACATCGAAGAACGAAACTACATTTCCATCTCTCACCAGGCATAAAATTCAGTTCCAAATGTCTCAGAGACCTTAATGCAAAACCTGAAACTCTAAAACTGCTAGTGGAATACACAGGAAAAATATTTTAAAAGGTAGAAGTTGGCAAGAACTTTCTGAAAAGGCCTCCAATAGCTAAGGAAATTGTCCCAAGTATTAACAAACCAGAGTTCAGGAGTGCAAGCAAGGAAGAAGCCCCTGCTCGGCAAAAGGAGCAGTCCACAGAAGAGACACACTGCAGAGAAGTAGAAAACTTTTGCCAAGTATACATTTAACATAGGATGGATTTCCAGATATCTAAATATATGAAAAACTCTAAAAATGGAACACTGTAATAAATGGACTCATGAAGTGTCTGGAAAAGCTCGCAAAGGAAGAAATACAAATGACCAAGTTAAAAAAAAATTGAGAAAGTGTTCAACCTCCTTAACCACCAGGGAAATGCAAATTAACCTTTTTAGAAGTTTTATCTAGCTATCAGAAGGACTGTCCTCAAGAAAACAAGTAACAAAGGTAGGCGGGGAGTGGGGAAAGATGAAGCCCCCACTCCCCCCGTGTGTGTGTGTGTGTGTGTGTGTGTGTGTGTGTGTGTGTCGGTGCACATGGAAGTCAGAGGTTAACTCGGAGTGTCATTCCTCTGGTGTCATCTATGTTGTATTCTGAGATAAGAGCTCTCACCTAGAGCTTGCCATGTAGGCTAGACTGACTGGCCAGCAAGCCCCGAGGATCTGCCTGTCTTTGCCTCCCCATTGCTGTGAAACAATTGCACATCATTGTGTCTATGCTGGTCTTGGAGAGGAACACTTACAAACGGTTGCTGGAGACAATACATCCGCTATGAAAGTCAGTATGGATAGTCCTCAAAAAAATCTAAAAATAGAACTATCATATATGTGATCCAACTATACCAGTTCTGGCTATACACTGGAAGGAAGCTAAGTCAGCACACCACAGGGATTCTTATGGCTGCATGGTTATTGCTACTCTAGTCACAACACCCAGGAAATGGACCAGACTTGATGTCCACCAGTAAATGAATGGATAGAGAAAATGTACATGTACACAATGGAGCTTTAGTCAGGTCTAAGGAACAATGAAATTATGACGCCTCCAGGAAAATGGATGGCATTTGAGCTCATTAGGTTATGCCACATAAACCAGAGTCAAGAAAGATAAACATTTTCTCTTATAGGTTAAAGACAGATTTAAATTATATATATATGCGAGTGTGCACATATAGAGGTCATGAAAGTAGAAAGGGGAATACTAGAGGCTTAAGGGTGAGGAGCAAGAGCAACACGAGAGTGTAATGGAATATATGTGAGGTGAATGCAGAAGGAGAGACTATCTGTGGGGTGGAGAAGGACTATGAAGAGGAGGAGGGACAGGGGAGGGCAGTGAGGTAGTTGAGTAAAAGTATAACGAAAGCACTCCTGATACTGTAACAGTGAAACTATAACTTCCTTGAGGGCAGAAGTAGGTTTTATTCCTCTGAGGTCTTCCACTGACGCTACTGAAGATCTGGAATTAAAGTCTGCATGGAGAGCATTTTGTCATGCACACGCTGGCTCTACTGTCAAGATGCTCCCAGAGAATAAGGAACAGGCAAGGCAAGGAAGGTGACAGTTATACCTGATTACCCTATGATCCAAACTCACCAACGCACGTAAGCAAGTCTTGGTAGGGTAGGAAAAGGATGAGAAAGATTGGCTGGGAGGATAGGAAAATACAGAGACTCTGAGAAGCGATCCTACTTTCTCTGCTCCTATGACATCTAGTGGAGATTCTCCCTTTCCAGGATCTGTGATTATATCAAATGACAATTATGTATGCAGATCTCAGTGTTAAGAAATTGTTCTGCTGATAAGGTTTGACCTCGGTTATGCAAATACTAAGTGTGAGCAGAGGAAGCCAATTTAAAGACTCAGATATGATGTTAGCTTAAGAGCCATCCAGAGGAGCCTATAGAATCTTGAAGCACCAACCATGGACCAGGCATGACTGGACCTAGGTCCCGTACACATGTGTAGCCGATGGGCAGTTTAGGCTTGGGGAGCGGGGGCTGTCTCTGACATGGGGTCTGTTGTCTGCTCTTTGTTTCATTTTCTCCTGATGAGACTGCCTTACAAGGCCGCAGAGGAAGAGGAAGAAGTCAATCCTCATGTGAATTGATGAGCTGGAGTAGGTGAGTGGGGGGGGCTCCCTTTTCTGAGGATTAGGGGAAAGGGTGAGAGAGGGAGGGTGGGACTGGGAGGAGAGGAGGGTGGGGGCCATGACCAGGATGTGAAGTGAATCAATAAAGAAAATAATTAAAGAAGGAGACACCCAAAGTCAGTATGTACTCCTGTTCCTAACATGAAGCACTGATATTTATAGATTCTGATACTGGATTTGGATGGGCTTGTTCTATTCTGTCAATTAAAGAACTGGCCTGTATCTTTGATCTGTGTTTAGATTGTCTGATGACAGACCTTTAAAGTAACCAGGACTAGAACCAGCATCTTTGGTGGTAATATAGCAGGGGACCTGTGGAGAGGTCTTAAGGTGTTAATAATTAGCAGTTTGTGAGGCACACAGTCTCAAAGCAATTAAAGATGGTAATTGAATATTTGGTCACAGAGCAGAACAGCTCATGTGTAAATGGAGGTACTGCTTGCTGGCTTACAGCAGTGACTTTAGACAAATAAGGCTGGAAATCCAGAAGGAATAAATATGGGCCAAACATATGTTTGTCTTATAGGCAGCTATATTTTTTGAAAAGCAATGCCTTTTTGCTGTATGTGACACTATTAGCTGAAAACGTCAATAGTAAATAATCCAATATTTCAGCCTATCTCTTGTAACGATGGCACACCATTTCCTCATGAAAAACTTCACTGTCAAGGGGAGTCTGATGTCCTTTGATTTGGTAAGCACTTTCAGTTCATATACTTTAAATCCAATCACTGGTCACACAATGGCCACAGTGCTACATCTATGCTTGTTTGAGGGTATGGGGTGGCATTACTGATGAGTTCAGCATGGCCCAGGGGTTTAATCACAGAGGCCCTGCACAGCCTTTGCAGGGACTTCATAAGCTATGACATCTGATTAATGTGAACACATATGCAAGAAACTCAAAACAAACCCAGCCTCGTGAAAAAGTTTTCAAGTAGAAAGTAAAGGAAATGCAAAATTCCTTTTAGAAGAATATCAGCAGGAATTGGTGGATGTTTTCTGTCCGTGCTTCTGGTAGAAGGATGCTCCAGGCTGCCTAGGGCTTATTAAGATGGAAGATACGGTCTCCCTAAACATGCAGGAAGGCAGAGAATCAAAGGTGAAATTAGAGTCTGTTTATTTCAGTCCTATGGATGGGGAAACCCTTTCTACAGCCTCTGTGATGAGGAAAAGAAATATTAGCTTGAAGTCTATAGGTTTTGTTAGTGCTGCAGCTGGCCAGGAGTTTTCACTCTCCAGAAAATGGTCAAGTGGGTCAACTCCTGATTTTTTTCTCTCTTTAGCTTCCACCTACTTTTTGAAGACGTATGTAGTAGGTTGTGATGTGATTTTTTTTTTTTTTCTTAAGTTAAGGTCCCAGCATGCAGCACCATAACGTTTACCAATTAATCAATCACCTCCGTCCTGTTTGAGGAACTAACATGCAGAAAGATGTTATGTTCTCACAGACATTTCGGAGTGTGCACGGGGTATAAAAAAGGTAAATCGTACTCCAGGCCTGAATCCTAGCTTACTATGTAAATAAATCTCCTACAAATGTGGCATAAAGGAGCTTGGGGTCACTGAACAGGGCTGAATACTGGATGAAGCATTAGCCTGGGGTTGGGAAACATGTTTCAGAGGTAAGGACTTGACCTCTTTGGATCGGGGAGAGTTCCTGTTTGTTTCGTAATGTGTGCATTTCATTATTTGCACGGTTTCGTGAGGCGCTTGGGAGCTGTGTACACAGCAAGGTGAGTCTGGAACCAAACACCCCATTTCATTGTCTTTGAAATACATTTAGCAAAAATTTCTCAAAGTATACCTACTTCTTGATGTTAATTTTTTTCCCCTGAGATGTTTGTTTCAATTTTTTTTTTGGAAAAAACAAAACAAAACAAAAAACTATACTCATTTTCATTGTGCTCTACGGACGGATTACAAAGTAAAACTCGCTCGCACAACAGCTGCCACCAGCGCGGAGCGCTCTTGCAATCCCAGTGTTTGCTAAGTGGAGGCCTGTGCACTTCAAGGTCATCCCTTTCTCCACAGGGAGGAGATTGAAGCCAGCCTGGGCTCCTTGAGACCCTGTCTCACAAAAACGAACCCCAGTATCACTAACCGGTAAATAATGGGCAATAAACCGTTACGCGAAGGAGTCTTCGCGTGTTCACGGGTCTCCAACTCCTTCCCAAAGCAAGGCAACTCTTCCGCTCCTTTTAGGAATCGCTTGGAGCAAGGAGAGCGCCGGGGTTGGGGGTGGAGAGCAGGTTGTCCTAGGGGTCTCGAGGCTTCAGGAAAGGCTGTTAGGGATTGGGTGCAGCAGGCTCTTCGGGTCGCCGCGGCCCCAGCCCGGCTTTTGCACGCTGCCCGGTCCGGGTGCCGTGGGCGGAGGTGGGGTGTAAGGCGGGGGCGTGTCCTCGGGCCAGACACGCCCCCACCGGCCTTAAAAACGCGCGAGCCCGCGCCCGACCCGCCGCCGCTCGCGCTCGCGGGGACTGCCACGCTCCGCGCGGCACCCCCAAACCCGCGCCCGACCCGCCGCGCCCGCGCCGCACAGCTGCCCATGGCTGACCTGAGTTTCATCGAGGATGCAGTCGCCTTCCCCGAGAAGGAGGAAGACGAGGAGGAGGAGGAGGAGGGCGTGGAGTGGGGTTACGAGGAAGGTAGGCTCGCGGGACGCACCTGCTGCGCCCGGGCAGCCGCGCCGCCCAGCCCGGAGCTGCCGGGAAGCCGAGGTGCTCTCTGGTCTTGGGAAGCGTCACCAAACGCGCTTTAGGAAAATGCTCTTGGCCACTTTAAGAAAGAGTTTCTAAATCTGTCCCCGAAGACCCAGGGCTCCTGGTAGCTTTTAGTGCCCACGTTTACTGTGTACACGGAGAAAAGCGCGAAAGAGTCCATAGACATATGTCTGCGATACTGTATTTACATTTATTTACATTTTAAATGAGTGGTGCTCCCGAGCATTCCCGGCTTTCCGCTGTCTTTAAGCCTGTTGAGCGTTGCGGCTACAGAACTGAACTGATGGGCAGAGGAAATTTCCGTGGTATTGTTTTCTAGTCACTTAAAGGCGTAAGTTTCCTAGATCCCTAAATCAAGGCATGTGTGTGTACAGAGAGAAACACGCAGTAAAGGATTTTGTGTGTGGTGTTTAACAGCAGATCACTCACAAAATGTAAAAACCCACGCACATTTCTCATATTTCATCTATCTACAGATGATAGTCATGGTTATAATGTCGAGGATAATGAGTTTTTCATGTTCTGTTTTATTGTCATTAACCTTAAAAAAAACCTAGCCTCTCTCTCCCTCTCTCTCTGTCATTTTGTCTTCAGGGGTAGAGTGGGGCTTAGTGTTTCCCGATGCTAACGGGGAATACCAGTCTCCTATCAACCTCAACTCCAGAGAAGCCAGGTATGACCCCTCGCTGCTGGATGTGCGACTGTCTCCAAACTACGTGGTGTGCCGGGACTGTGAGGTCACCAACGATGGCCACACCATTCAAGTCATCCTCAAGTCGAAATCAGGTACTTTGGAAAGCATGTTTCTGTACTCTTCTATGCAAGCGGACAATTTCTGATTTAACTTGTATGGTGTTAAAGGGGGGCACAAACGCAGTTTCTGTTCTTATGGTTCTTTTCTGGGAATTATTATTATTTTTTTTAAAAATAGCCCTGCGGGGCTAAGATAGGGTGAAGTGAAGCTGTCTCTGCTGCCTGTTCTTCCAAGGCTGTGCTTGGAGCCTCCGAAGTTGCTTGAACAAACATTTACTGAACTGTGAGGAAAGGGGTACGGACACAAGCATACTGATTTGATTTTTTCGGCTGTGCGTTTTATTCTAAATTATTGATTAGCTGAAGTCATTTAATCAGAATGCTTTGTTTTTGCTGGTTTGTGAAAACAAAGATTAGAATTCATTGATGTCGTTTGTGTTCGAGATAAACTTTTCAAGTGAAATTTCCTTTAATAATGACAAGAATAATTTTAATGACAGTTAAAAGCATGCTCTGCACCCAGCAGATATTTAACTGGAACCCCAGCTCTTGTTTTTGTTTATTTTTAACTCACTTTTCTTGAACCTAGTTGACACGAATCTGAAAAGTTTTGTGGAAAATGCAATTTCCGGGAAAATTGGCTTTCAGCTTAAATGGAGGAGAAATGAAAACAGATCTGAAAAACCTTAGCATTAACATTGTGTTTTTCATGGGGAATAATGACTAATTTTCCTCCCGGGAAGAATGTGATGTTAGAGCGTGTTGAACGTTGATGTGCTTCACAAACAGTCTTTGCTTGTATGAATTCCAAGTTAATAAACTAGGTATTTCAAAGCACAAAACCATTAGGTTTGTCATTAGGCGAGGAAGGCATCTCTAACTCGTCATGTTGCAGAGCTTTGGTCCGATAAGACAGAACACGTATTCTTTGCAGCTGTTAAGAGTCTAATCAAGGTGAGGACGGCTCCTCGGGGACAGTGTGAGTTTTATGTGGGGTTGGTAAAAATCACACGCTGAAGTTAGACTTGAGCTTAAACCGGAATGTTTTGGAGATGTTTTATGTTGCCAGTAGTTCTGTCCTGAATAGAAGTGCCTGGTCCGGACTTTACTCTCCACTCCTTTGGGGACCTTCCTCCCTCAGGTGCCTGTCCTCTTTCTGTCACTACGGTAGTTTCTCCCTTTTAGTATTTCAACAAACTTAAAAGTTAGTCAGTGCCGGGCATGTGGTGCACACCTTTAATCCCAGCACTCCAGAGGCAGAGGAAGGTGGGATTGCCGTGAGTTCCAGGCTAGCCTGGTCTACAGAGTGAGTTCAGCCATGGCTGCATAGTAAGAACATGTCAAAAAAAAAAAAAAAAAAGGAGAAACTGAATGATTAGTTTATTGCTTTTTCTAGGTTATTTCAGCTTCTCTAAGGAATTTTCTTTAAACTCTGAACACCATTATTTATTTACTTAAGGAAGTTTTTTTTTTCTTAATCAAAATGGACTTCAGACATAATTTGAATGGTTGGCTGTGTCTCCATTTTGTCTTCCTCCAGCTATAGCCTGTGCCACCTTACGTATAACTTCTGTTTTTCTTTAGTAACAACTACTTTAAACTTAAAAAAAAAATTTTGTCTTTTGAGATTATATTATAATTACTTATTTTTCCTTCCTTTCCTTCCTCCTAACTCTCACATATACTCCTTTTTTGCTATCTTTCAAACTCAGAGCCACTTTTTCATTAATTGTTGTTTTGTACAGACATGTAAATGTGCATGCATATATCTTCCTACATATATAAATACAACCTGCTCAGTCTGTGTAATGTTACCTAGCTGTTTGTTTTCAGGGCTGAACTTTTAATAATTGTTTCTCTTGTCTTTACTTCTTTATTTCTTAATAACCTGTTTATGTTGTTTGCTCTTAGATTTAAGAACCCTTCAGGCTTCCTGCAGTGGAAGGGAGGCTAGTCTTATCACCCTCTCCTGTCCTGATTCTGTCCCACATACTTATATTGTTATTAAAGTTAATACTCAAAATATTATTGCTATGACCTTCCACCTGCCATTTTGGCTTGAGACTGTATTGTTTCCGTTACGGAACAGTATTTTCCCCTGGAGTTATTGTATTCTTGTGTATTAATTTTTAAAGTTACCTAACAGGAATTCACTTTTAACTGTGACAGATGATAAGCTCTGTCTCAGGACATTCAAAGGCACCAAGTTGTCCTTTCTCTGGCCCCTTGGAGCTGTTCGGACTGCCACCGAAACACTGAAGTACATACACTTTTCAATTTTGCTCTCACACTTTTAATTTCTTAAAACTGGTGCTAATTGTTTGTATTAATTTTTTTTTTAATTTCACCATTCAGTGTTTTGTGAAAGTGAGGCCCTTCATCATTTTATGTTGTCTTCTTCCTGTTTTTGTTTGTTTATTCTGGGTTGGTTCCTTCTTTATCAGTCCAGTCCTTTCCTTTCATCTTGAGGGTTCTTGTCAAACACCAGAGATCAGGCTCTCTGCTGCTAACCAAGATGAATCGAGGTTAGCCTAAAACACTCATTTCAGGAGGCTAAGGCTGAGGCCTGTTCACGTGGTCAGTAATGGAGTCCAGCGGTGACATGGCTGTGCTAGAGATAGCTTTGGAGGTAGGCCTGGAGTCCCTGGAACTTACCTGCTTGCTGTTTCTGCTTCTCTGGGGATGGCAGGTGGTCAGGGAGGGAGGGCTGGCCAAGAGTGTCAACATATGGTATGGTCCAGTTCTCCCTTCATCTGCCAGGGACTGCAAAGGCAGCTGCTTGGCTATGGAGAGTGGGGATGCAGAGCAAACCTCTCTTTTCAGAGGCCTTCATTTCCTGTTTGCAGTCTGTCACTCTGTGCCTCCACCCTCATCCAGGCATACCAGTGTCCTTGTGCTCCGAGTCTGCTGTCCTCCTGTCTTTTTCTGTTTGCCTGCTATGACAAAATACCTTAGGCTAAGTAATTTATAAACGATAGGAGTTTATGCCTTCCAGTTCTGGAGTGTCAGCTCAGCGTGTATGCAGACATATCCTCTTATGAGGGCATGCAGTTCTGCATACATGGGGCCTTGCAACTGTGTCCTCAAGTTGCAGAAGGGTAACGGGGGGGGGGGGGGGGGGGGATTTTTTTTTTTTTTTTTGGGAAAAAGGGGGGTTTTTTTTTTTTTTTTTTTTTTTTTTTTAGGAACAAAAGCTGACATTTTGTCATCTGCCGTGTTAAGATCTTTGTTTTTGTTAGTATGCCAGTGGCCATGGACGCAGCCATTTTTCTTTCCTCTTTATTATTTTTTTCTATGTTTATTGTAAAATACTCTCAAAGAATTAGCCCTGTTTTAGCAGGTATCTTCAGGGCTGGCTGCAAAGTCCTCCTCTGTGGCCTAACAGACTGCTCCTCCCCTGGGGGGGGGGTGTCAAACAGCCTGCCCTTGAGATCCTGTTAGAAATAGTCCGTGTTCCCCTTACTTTGGAAAACTACTTGGTTACTGAGCTACCACAGGCCGCATCCGAGCAGAAGTTCTAGGTTATATCCATAGATGGTCCTTGGTTGAGTGTCAGTCTCAGAAAAGACCCTGTGCCCAGATATATTTGGTCCTTGTAGAGCTCCTATCCTTTCCATATCATACTAACTTCCCTTCTTTCATATGATTCCCTGCACTCTGCTGAGGGTCAGATGAAAGGAGAGGAGGTCCTCCCCTATCAGGGGACTTGGAAAGGGGCAGGGAGGAGACCAGGGAGGGAGTGTGGGGTTGGGGAGGGAATGAGGGAGCGGGATACAGCTGGGACACAGAGTTAACAAAATGTAACTAAAAAGAAAAATAAAATAAAAAAAAAATACAAAAAAAACTACTTAAAAATAAAAAAAATATTAAAAAAAAAAAAGAATTAGCCCAAATGATGACACCATTTTTTTTTCAGTATACTTTCAGTGTTTATGCTGCACAAACCAAAGCTGTTCAAGCCATCATAAAGATACAATTCCTATATATGGTCCCATTTGGAAACACTGCCTTGGGGCAGTTCTTGGACCCATGGCCTAGCCTCCCCACCATGCAGCTCTGCTGAGACTTCCTCCAGCTGAGGCCACTGGTAATCTTCTCCAGAGGCAACTGTAAAATTCTTATCATTCTCTAAGTGCTGGTTTTGAAGTGAGCTGTGTGGAAACTCTGGTCTCTGACACAGTTACCTGAGGGCTGTTTTAGTTTTGACTGCCTTCCTCCTGCCACTTCTTGGTACTCAGTCATCCTTAGCATCTTGGGCTCTTTAGGCTTCCTCCTCAGGCCTCCTCTCACATCGACGGCCAGCAGAGTGACTGTGTGCTGCTTTGTTTCATGCTAAGTTTCCATCAACAGGCTGGCCCTATGTTGCACACCCTTTGGCAGGTCAGGACAGCCTCAGCTTGAACAGCTAAGGAAGGAAAGTCAGTTCTCACTGAGGAGTGCCTTTTGCACTTGAGCAATTTCACAGCTCAGAAAGTTCTGCTGCTTCCCCATGATGTCTGTTTTAGCGTTCTGGACCTTCATAGAGCATTGGTGTCAGGCTTTCACACGCACGCTTTGGAACACTGCTGTCATTTCATTAGGCAAGTGGCATCTTTCCTTTCTGATACATGTGTTCCTTCAATTCCTGACAGCCCTTCATCCCTCAACACTTACTGACACTACAGCAGTATAAACTCACCTGCCTGGAAAAGCTAAGCAGATACTCTCAGCTAGGAGAATAAAAGTCCAGAAACAGCTACTGGCTGTCTGTTTTACCTGTGGTGTTCGAGGGGGAGGGCCTGGACAGAGCATGCCTGGTTTGCTGGATGTTTGATGGGTTGGGAGAGGCTGGAGGTGTGTCCCTGTGCAGCAGGCACACTTACTCATTGCTTTCCTCTGGCAGGAAGAATGAAGTTGGCAAGGCTATATTTTTACCTGATGCAGAGAGTTACATGCTGTGGAGGTGGAAAATATAAGTCAGCCACAGAGCCATTGAAGGGAGATTGTTTAGTGGAAATTATTAGAGGAGAATTTTGGAAAGAAGTAGGATTTGA